GCTGTGGGCCGAGCTGCCGGCCGAGCGCCGCATCTTCTGCTCCGTGCTGCTCTTCTCCTGGGCCGTCTACCTGTGGGAGGCCTTCCTGGCGCACCGGCAGGTGGGCTGGGCCCGTGCGCGGCCTGCGGCGGCCTCCCGAGGCCGCGGGGGTTGCGGGGCTCCGAGGGCCGTCCGCGGCTCCGGGGGCGCCCGCTGAACATTCCCGCCCTCGCGGCGCTCCCTGGGGAGGGGGCCCCGGCCCTGCCAAGGCCGAACCTGCCTCGAGGGAACGGGGCAGGGGCCTTAGGAAAAGAAGGAAAGGGCCATGAGAGGCGGTACTGAGGCAGCCTAAGGTGGTGCATGGAGTCAGTGTAGGCCTTTGAAAGCGGAACGCGGTGAGACGCTCTCCACCTGGGAGTGGAGTAACTCCTTGTTTGTGTGGGTAAACGGCAGACACATTTTCACTGTGGAGCCTCATGGTTAACGGGGGAGAATCTGGGGTCCTCTGTGGCCTCCGCTTAGTCGGCGTGGAACAATGTGCTGGATGCTGTGGGATAAAAATAAAAATAAGATAAAAATATTGTGGGATAAAAGTAAGGACATTTTGTGGGATGTTCCTCTGTGACTTGCTGTGGTGGCCCTGGCATCTGCATTATGTGTTACTTGCCWTCTCATTTCTCTCCTTAAAATTGTTGGATGTTGAGTTGAAGTTTCTTTTCCTGTTTTTCAGAGACGAGTTTATAGGACAACAACACATGTACCACGGGAGTTAGGGCAGATCATGGATTCRGAAACGTTTGAGAAGTCCCGTCTCTATCAGCTGGACAAGAGTACCTTCAGCTTCTGGTCAGGCCTGTACTCCGAAGTTGAGGGCACTGTAAGTGTCTGAGCTCGGCGTTCCTTCATATTGTGTTTTTCTTACAGTTCAGCTGTGAAATACTCAGGGTTTTGCTTTTCACGATCCTCTGCAGCTGCTCTGCAGCTCAGGCTGTTGGCATTTGGTAGGATTGGGGTTCTGTGCTTCTTGTCTGTGCCCACATTTGCCATATAGAATGGTGTAGTCACAGAATCACAAAATCACAGAATATTTAAGGTTGGAAGGGACCTCTACAGATCATCTAGTCCAACCTTCCTGCTCAAGCAGGCACACCTASAGCATGTGGCACAGGGTGGCATCCAGGCGGGTTTTGAAGACCTCCAGAGTAGGAGACTCCACAACCTCCCTGGGCAGCCTGTTCCACTGCTCTGTCACCCTAACAGTAAAGAAGTTGCTCCTCACCTGGAGACGGAACTTCCTGTGCTTCAGCTTGTGGCCATTACCCCTCGTCCTATCGCTGGCCACCAGTGAGAACAGCCTGTCCCCTTCCTCCCTGCATTCTCCCTTCCTGAACTTATACAYATTAATCATATCCCCTCTGAGCCGTCTCTTCTCCAGAGAAAACAGGCCCAGCTCACTCAGCCTCTCTTCATACGAGAGATGTTCCATTCCCTTAATCATCYTRGYTGCYCTTCTCTGGACCCTCTCCAGAAGCTCCACGTCCCTCCTRTACTGGGGWGCCCAGAACTGCMCACARTACTCCAGGTGCGGCCTCACCAGAGCTGAGTAGAGGGGCAGGATCCCCTCCCTTGACCTGCTGGCAACACTCCTCCTGATGCAGGCCATCGTGTCCTAACGGAAGATGTGGAGCACTTACTTTCCATATTTGTTGTTTTTCTGCTCTRTTGCCAGGCTGCATGATACATTCCCAACTGCCAGGTTTATTTTAAAATGTCACTAAAAACAAGGTATATGAAAATATGACTCYTGCAGCCGGCTAAAATTGCAAGTTGATGTGTGTTATAATCATAGGTGTGCATAACCATATGTAGCCTCATGAGCTTCAACAGAGGTCTCTGAAGGTCCCTTCCAAGCTCAACCACTCTGTGATGTGTAAGGAAATATCTATAAGTTGTTTCTCAAGTAGGTTGGCACATGCTGCAAATTCTTCTTTGTAAGCATTTTGTTTTACCACCTATACGAATGTGTGACCGTGCCCAATACTCCAAAAACACACAGTAAAATGGAAGTAATGGACAGGAGGTGCCTCCTGATAGTAAATAAAGTAAATTTCTGAATGTGATGTTAGGTTGCACTGTGCAATAATGTATATTGTATTTTTATAGACTACTGGCGCAGCTGACCTTTAATGGTTTCCTCTCCCAAAGAATTTAGCAGCATCAGAATTGTTTTAAGTGGTTACAAATACGGACCTTTTTAATGTTTGAAGGGATGCAGCTTGTTTCATTTTTCGGTGATATTTAACTACAAGGTAGAAAGGAAAACCTCTGAGAGCAGGAAAAGTACCAGCAGATGTTTCTTGGGAATAGGAACAGTCACACTGCACAGTAAAGTTTCTGTGTATGAAAAAACAGAGTTTTAACTTAGAACAAAGTGCTTGTTGTGCTCTATACCAATAGTTTTAAGAGAAACATTTTTCTTACTGCTGAAATATATTGTTCCTGAGTAGCACAACTGAGTGAAAAGAAGAATCCTGAAATGCCTGGGATTGCAAAAAATATAATTACTGAGTACACTATGTTATTAAAGTGATGTACTTAAGATAGTAAAAAGGTTAATTAAAAATATAGTGAAAATACTGTGTGTAAGTCATATAATTATATGACAGAAAAGCATTACTTAGAAACTCTAACCTACTTTAATTTTTGCGTTTTTCTATCTAGTAACTTTTGTGCAACCTAACCTGTATGTTGGATTTCGTTTATTGAGTACTTGCAAACATGTAATTAATTACACGTGTGTCAGGATAGCTCATAGCTGTCTTTGCCTCATGGATTGTGGGTCTTCCTATTTTCCTTTCTTTCYTTTTTTTTTCTTTCTTCGCACTTGTTTCACGTAAGCCTTTTAAAAATAACTTTTAAAACGGTATTGTCCATACCGTGACTGCCTACTTGAAAAGTGCTTTATAAATGATGCATTACTTGCCAAGAAAGTAAATGTGAAGTATTTGAAAGCTGCTCTGCTTTACAAATATTATTTCCTCTTGCCTCAATGTGTGGTTAACACAATGGAGAGCTTGTAGCTTCCTTAAAGTGGTTAAAGCAGCACTGATAGAGGATGTGAAACTATGGCCCTTACTCCGAATGTCTGTGTCTCACTAGCAAATACCTGGGAGACTGTTCAAATGCAGTCGGGTTACTGAATCCTGAATATCCCCAGTAAAGATGGCATGTTACAAGTGTAAGACACGATCAATTTTGAGATTTTCTGGGAAAAAAAAAAAAGGGAACATTGCAGAATATTGCAGAACATTCCTGGTTTTCCGTCAGCGCCGCTAAAGGCTGGGAGCGGGGAGGGGGTGCGGTTAAAGCCTGGCCACACGGCTCTGCTCCATCAGTGCTGTTCTCATGGCAYGGTGAGGTGCCAGCCCTGCCTCATGTGCTGTCCCCTGCCTCTTATTTTCAGATGATTCTGCTCTGTGGAGGAATTCCTTTTCTCTGGAATCTCTCAGGTCAAATCTCTGGTCGCGCTGGGTTTGGACCAGAATACGAGGTATGTGACCTTTAAGTAATAGTGGGACTATTTGCTTCCTGAACTATACTGTTATACATCTTATTTTTAAGCTGTTTACTTAAAGTAGGTTTTATCTATAGGTACAACATAATAACAGATATTTTCTAGTGACCTCAAAGATTGGGTGTGTCTGAGGATAGATGTGTGTCACTTCTTTTTTATTAGTTTACTTATTAAATATCACCTTATATTTTTGTCTCAAAGCTATTTGGCTAAAGTCAAGTGAGCTGATGGGTGGGGCTTTTTTTCTCTTTGTTTTTGTTTGTTCTTAAAGTTTATAAATCCTAAATGTGATCTTCCTAGATAGAGCAATAGCCTCAACTGTCTTACTGTTTTATCTATTGTCTTTGTGCTGTGAATTCAGCTACTTTTTCAGTGGTGCAAATCTTCACAAACCATAAAAAATACTTTAACTATGTACCTTAAATTTATAAGGAAACCATATCCCTCTAGATGAGACTACCTACTCTTGATGCTAATTACAGGTGAATTCTTGTGCCTTTAAAAAAAAAAAAAAAAAAAAAAAAAGTTGGCTTTTAAACCATTTTAATGGTTTTTAAACCATTAAGCCTGACAGACCAACTGGACCAGACACTGAGACTTACCGACAATTGTGCTGAGGTGTTCACTGCTCTGACCAGCCCTTTTCAAAAAGAATGAGACAGTTGGCACTGCGGAGTTAGAGGTCACGTAGTTATTATCAGTGGCCGGATATTAAAGACCACACGTGACRATTTTTTTCCATCCAGTTTTATACAAAGCTTCCTTTTGCAGTCAATATCCTGAGAAAATGCAGTCTCTGTTCYAGATGAAAACGAAGGAAAATGGAAACAATTCTGTTCCTGAAGTGCTCTTATTTCCATGAAGATTTAATGACTTGAGAGAATCTGAGATTTAGTAAATTAAAAGTTAACGTAAAGACTTTCTCCTGTGGATATTTGTCTTCTCACAAGAAAATGAGCTTGCCCTCCTCTGAGTAGCATTATATTGATAACTGCATGGCTACCAGGACAAAATTCTTCAAATAGTTAAAGTTCTTATTTAACTGTGCGCAATTAATGTACAAACTTGTCCCTTTGGCCTGTGGGTCTTCACAAAATATCCTGCCTCTGGATCCGGAGGATATGTGGCTCTCTAGGCAGTTGCTGATGAATAAAGACTGAGCATAGCAGCATCAGCAGAAACTACACATTAAGTTGTGTTCTGTACAACAGGCTTATTTGCCAGAAGAGCAGCATAGAATTTAATTGAACTGAAAGTGTTCTTTGTGGAGAGAATTTGACCTGATGTCGTTATCATAAGCTGCTTTTTCTCCACTCCAAAAATTCTGCAAAAAGTGTGGATATGTGGCCTGTCAGATTTAAAGCTATTGTTTTTTGGACAGTCAAACCTCTTACATGWAAGTCATGGGTATGTTAATGGGTTGTCTTTTTTTCTTAGTTAGAGACTTACTCAAGTAGTCTGATCTCTAGTYGCACCATAAGAAACATAAAATTAGATGATACTTATTTTGTCTTCTAAAGATAAGAAATATTGAACAAGACTTAATACCCGTTTTAGATAATATATGAATACAGATGAACATATACTCTATATGTTTATTKCATGCTAAGGACAGAAAGGACTATTTTTATAGTTTGGTTTCATACTTTTGATGATTTCAAAGTTTTCAAGCACTAACTCCTTCATGAAGATGCTGAGCTGTGGCTGAACTTAAACTATTTTAAGAAAGTCTCTAAATAGTGGAGTTTTTATAAATATAGGTCATTTCAGTGAGCAATAATCTAGTCATTATATATGTATTGTTATTTTGGTGAAKTTATTTAGCTTTAGCTTCTAACTAATGTCAAGAAAAACACTGATATCAAGTGGGTTTTGACACCATATGACTATGAACACCAGAGCAGATCAGTAAAATTTTCTTTTCTGTGTTTAGATTGTTCAGTCCCTGGTGTTCCTGCTTCTTGCAACGCTCTTCAGTGCAGTGACTGGTCTCCCATGGAGTTTATATAACACCTTTGTCATAGAAGAGAAGCATGGCTTCAATCAACAGGTGTAGTGGATAACACATGTGCTGACCTACCCATTGCTTCTTGTTGTCTCTTCCGTCTTGTGTCATCCATAAGTCATCCAGACTTGTGGTGTCTTCATTTCCCGGGGCCTCCTGTCGTTGTTGCACAGATCCTGTAACYCATGGGAAGGCCTCTGAGGTCATGTCTCTGAGCAGCTTCTTCAACAACAAGGATGTGTCTCCTCGTGGTGGAACTAAGGACGCCTCATTCCTCAGTTGTTCATTTTTGGGTGGGCCCTTCTTTTCCCGTTACATGCTTTCAGAGGAGCTGGGATAAATGTTTATATGTCACTGTTTATACAGTGACATACAGCAACAAYTAAAATGCTGCTTGACAGGGATGCTTATGACTTCTAGACCTTGAATAGATGAAACAAAACTGACAAATTATTTTCCTCCTCATTTTGTTTCACTCACTGAGCTGCATTCTGGAACCAGCCTTCACTAAATTAGAATATTCATCTCTTCATCTGCAATTCCTTAAATACTCACTTTATTTTGTAATATCTGGCCTGGTTTTCTTAATTTCTCCCACTTAGTTTAATTTGTTTATTACCAGTATCAGTTTTCCTTGGGAGCAGATTTTCCTCTTGGAGAAGGCACATCATTACACCATTTAATATCAGCATTAGGCTTGTTTTCTTTTGGACCCAGTTGGTATAATTTACAATGCTTTTTGCTGCAAGTCTRTTTGAAGATTTTGATTTTAGTGAAATGAAATTTGGATAGAAATGCAGCAGATCAAATTGTTTGAGTCATTATTAAGAAGAGAGATGCTCTGGCATTTGCCAGTTTAGTTTCCAAGGGGGTARGAGAACTGAGTTAACTCTGAACAAGCCGAATTACTTTTTTTCTAAAGTAATAGAGAAATAGACAGAATAATTTGATGTTTCTTACCCTTTCTATAAAACAAGAAAACAAGTAAGAAAAAAAAAAAAGGCTGTAAAAAGGCAGTGATCCAGTTTCAGCCATTATCAATCATCTTTGAGACAAAAGTGCACAGGTCCCGATATATCCTGTAATTTTTGGTTCACATCAGTTACCTTATGGCACTTCCCTTGCTGCCTGTCCCCTCCCAGGGAAGCCCGCTGTTAAAAATTCATTTTTGCCATGATATCTTTGTGTATTCTCCAAAATTGCAAAGTTTGGAGTTATTTTTCTGATCTTTGGATACTCTGCCAGTGGTGGCTGCTGTTCCGGACTTTGGGAACATGGCCAGCAAGTTCGCAAATTATTCCAATTAGTCATAAACGTTCAGCTTGTGACCAGCTCAGAAATATTCCACTTACTTGTCTGGTCTTAAAAAGCAAAAAACTTGTCTTTCTAAAATGACTTGCTTGCCGGACTTGTAACCGTTTTTTGCCTTTCTCACCGTAGCTGGAAGTTCCCTTCCTACCCTAGGTGATGAGGCACATTCCTATCATGTGTGTACTTGGGGACTGTGAGTCACAGCCCTTCCCTTCCCTAATCTTAGCAGTGCATGGGATGGCAGACTAAGCTCCTGTTCCTGCTGAGGGAGGAAGGAGCATTTCCAGAGCACGAGTGAAGTTTTTTTTTCCTTCTGCCAGTGGTCAATATCTAACTAGAATACTTACCTTGGGGGCTTTGGCTATCGCTGTCTTCTGTAATTCTCGTTGTAAGGACTGGCCAAGTCCTAAGTTGTGTAATACTCTTATGGTGTGGCCTAGCCTGGCCATCCTTTGGACCTTCAGAAACCTTGAACACGCGTGAAAAGCCATCCTTGCTTCAGTTTCCTGGTGTGTCAGTGCTCTGTGCTCGCTTCAGACCTGTGCCTTGGATATCCTTTTTACCTCCACGAGGGTTTAGCTTCATCCTCGTGTCGGATGAACAAGCTCTTTATGTCAAGGACACGGAAGTCCAAGGAAGCTGGCGGGACTCTTGAAGCATTAGAGACCGGTGGACCAGCGGTGGACCAGCTTGGTGGACCAGCTTGGTGGACAACTTAGTGCCACTGTCTGCCTCAGTGCTAGAGAAAATACCGGTGTTTTTCCATTTGAACGCTCACCAGTGATTTTCCCATCCCTGCAGTAGCAGAAACATACTGTATTTTTACTTTATCTTTCAGCATACCCATCTGCATAGTCTCCCAGTCCTATTTAGAGTCTAGTAAGACTTAGGTTATGTTGTTATTTAGTATTTACTTTATGGCTGGAGAGAACTTGACTCAAATGTCTGCAAACCCTTTAGGGTGCAGAGTGAGCTCAAAGTTCACATCAAGCCCTACCTCTAGGCAGACAAACCAGAAGAACACGCGCTGCTGAACTAGCAGCTCGGGCTTCTTTAAAGCTCTGTTGAGTGCCTGCAGAGGCAGTGCTTTACTGAGGAAGGAAGTTTAGGGGACRTGCTCTGAACATTATCTCCATGGAGCTCTTCCCTCAAAATGCAGCTGTTGCTGGACTGTTTGGCCAACGCAAGCACTGGTTCTTGCCAAACGAGAAAAGGAAGACTTGGCCTTGAAGCCCATGTGTGATATTAAAGGCTTGAGTTGTATCCTTTGCTCCAGAAAGAACGAACAGATATATCGAACGCAGCATAAGGGTTTGGGTCAGTCCCTAGTAATGAAAAAAAGTGCTAAGATATGGGCTGGAATCCCACAACAATCAAGAATCTAAAAGCTTCTTCCATCTTCTCTGTAACTAACTCTTCTGCAGCACCAATCAGCATTGCCACTTTGGTTTGTCTCTGTGTGCATCAGGTGAAGGGATCAGTTCATTAACCATCGTGATGCATTAATATTTACAGTGTAAATGTCACTCGTGTCCTTTCTTTGCAGACACTGGGATTTTTTTTTAAAGATGCCATCAAGAAGTTTGTTGTGACTCAGTGCATTCTGCTGCCGGTGACATCGCTCTTGCTTTACATTATTAAAATAGGAGGAGACTACTTCTTCATCTATGCCTGGCTCTTCACTTTGGTTGTTTCCTTGGTGAGTAAGAGAATACCTTTGAGTTGCTGCTGAATGGTAGCTTACTTGCAAGTTAACATATGCTAGGCTTTAAAAGAGAAAAATGGAAAAAAAAACAGTGAAAAATCTCATTCTCCTTGGAATCTCAGGGTCCTCAGTCTTTTAAATGTGTTTTGTGTTTCAATGTCCTTGTTCAGGAATAACAGCTCATATTAACCGTGCACATTCATGGTGTCTTATATTTTATCTGTTCAATACTGAAATGTCTTTTTCAGTTAAAAAATGAGCATTAGAAAACCTTTCAAGTAGATACTGGAAATAAAATGGTGTTGGGTGACAGATTTACCCTTTTTRTAAATACAGAAAAGATCCCTATTGTCTTTTTGTACTTGCCTGTGCTCCACTTCCAGTACTAACYACGTCTTTTTGTGCCTTGTTTTCAATATCGGTGTGTGTTTGCAGGTGCTTGTCACAATCTATGCAGATTACATTGCCCCTTTGTTTGATAAATTTATTCCGCTTCCTGAAGGAGAACTCAAGCAAGAAATTGAAGTAATGGCAAAGAGCATTGACTTCCCATTGACTAAGGTGTACGTGGTTGAAGGTAAGATTTTTGGGGAAAAAAAAAAAGACTTTTTAAATATTGAGTTCTTTAATTTTTACTTGACTTTAATTATAGATGGTGCAGAAGAGCAGTTGCTTACATCTTACATTCTCCAGCTGTTGTAATACTTGCAAGTTTGGGGGTGTTTTTATTGTTTTTTTATTTATATTTATTTTTTGCCTTGAGGTCAGAATGGTGAAGCGGGACRTAGAACCTTAACTCAGCATTTTATTGGAAGCATTTTTTGGCTCTCTAGAGCTGAAATACATAGCACATTCAAAAATGGGAGCAGCTGTCCTAGATTCCCATTTTAGACCTTTAAACCAGAAAGTAATTTACCTTTTTTCTGTCTTTGTTCACCATTAATTGCCTCAAACTCTTTGATGAAGCTGTTTGAACCATATGAATGATAAAATGGCATGTTCCTTCTTAGTGTCCTCATGGGCTATTTCTCGGGGTGGGGATGGATCCAGCCCCTCTGCTTGGCACCATGAGTTTTGAACTACATAGTAGTGCAGTTTGGGTCTTTTTTTAACTCGTGCTTTGCTTAATGTGGAATAGGAAAGCTCCCATTTCCCTTTCTCTCCACCTCTGTGTTCTTGGAGCACTTGACTTTTTGACATTTCCACTGCTTTCATTTTGTTCCCTTCTGTACTTGATGTTTGTTTTGTTTGTTTGTGCCACTTGAGAGGCAGAGGTGCTTTTACTGCTTTAGTAAGAGCAGCATGAGATGGGGAAAAAAAAGAGCTGAAATGGTAACATTTTCCCTTAAGAATAATGAAGACTTCAACATGGATCCTTTTGGTTTTACTGCTCAGGGCTAGCGAAATTCAGCCAGTGCTCTGCCCCAGTGCAGCCACAATCTTACAGAGCTGGTGTGCTTGGGACCTAACAAACTCCCTTTTCTTAGCAAAGTTGAAAATTTTCAAAGCTTGAGAGTTATTATAGAGTCTTGTCAAGTTTTTAATGCAAGAATTGCTAGCTGTGTCCTAGCGTGGACGTCTCTCATGAAGTACTGTAAGGCTTGTGCCCTGCCACTTCTGGCACATGCCATTGCATGGGCATCTTCATCGTCACCTCATCATCGTAGCAAGTGTCAGTGCTTTGCAGCAAAGAAAGGCTGCAAACCCCCAATTTTCTGTCATTCATCTGGCCTCTTTAAGAGCATTGAGCCAGCACCCTCCTCTGCTGGCATGGAGGTTTCGTGGGGAGCATCTCTTTTTGAGTGCTTTTCTGCACTTTTTTGGTTCTTTCCACTCGAGAAATAACTTCTTAGCAACATGGGCAAAAATGTCCTTTAATCGCATGATTTATTCTGTGAAAAGRTGGGTTACAAAGGTTCCTCTCCGGAAGCAACTTGTTATCAGAGGAGGAAGATGACAGGAGAATGGGGATTTCATCACTATGCTATAGTATGATCAATTTTTCTCGCCGAGAAGTGGCTGGAAGCTGAAGCTTCCTGTGCTAACCCTTCTCTTTCTGCATCATTCTACCTTAGTTCAGTGCCAAAGTTACCATGACTGTGTCACGGGGCAGAAAATACCCATCCCACGCTGCCCTAAGAAGCTGATGCAGCTCCTGCATCTGCTTCGGCTTGGAGACCTTCTCCTCTGTCTCCCAGCCTCCGGAGTGGTGCTGCAAGAGTTCCTGCCAGCTAGGCAGCTTTTTGGCTCCACTGAAAGTGGATAGTTTCAGCGGCTCAAAAATAATCAAACAAATAAAAATTGTCTAGATGAAAGCAGCTGTTAATGTTTGCCTACTTGCCCTCGCTCATATTATCTATGAGGAACTACAATACAACTTTTATAAGCGTCTGCCTGAGATCTCTACTTCATCTTCTTCTCTTTCATCAGTGTCTGCTTATAACACGTTCAAAAGTTGGAATAATCTTTGTTGGCACGTTCAGAGAATTGTAAAATGCCCCCCTCCGTTTCTTTGCGAGGAGGGCAGCAAATTTCTTTGCAGACTGCTCTTTGCTCTCTGAAGCTGCAATGGCTCAAGTGGTTTTCTTTTGGATAGAACACTCTTCCTTGGCTGTTCTTGTGAGTTGAACACCTGGGATTGCAGGTTGCAAATGAAAAATCTCTAATTGGAAGTAGTAAATTAGATGATCTTTAAGTCATTTTAAAATATGCTGCAGCCTGCAAGCTTATTCACAGGCAATTGGTCTGCTGCTCATATGGGGTCTTTGAGAAGTCCTTTGCAAGAATATGTTCCTAGTAAGGCTGCCGAGATAGRCTTCAGTGCACAGTATTGTTCTGACTGTGGTCTCTGATGTACATCTTCCCCCATCAGGTTCTAAGCGTTCTTCTCACAGCAATGCTTATTTCTATGGATTCTTCAAGAATAAGAGGATAGTGCTTTTTGATACCCTCTTAGAAGATTATTCTGCTTTGAACAAAGAGCCAGCAGAAGGAGCTGATGGTGAGAATGAAGAGACAAAGTCTAAAACCAAAGTGAGTTCACATTTGTTCTCCACTGTATTATTTGCATTAACTTTTTAGTTTTTCTTTTATTGTGTTTTCTGTGTGTATTGTAAAGGTCCTGAATTAAATGCTAAAACCCCAAACCAAATGATGTCATCACCAAAGAACTTCTGAGTTGGGGATAGATGARATTTTTGAAGCTATGAGTGAATTGATGCAAACAGAACTAAGGAGACTGTAGAAATCCACTTTATGGACTTTAGCAAAACATTGATTTCTTCAGTTGATTTCTTATCCAAATAAGGACGGATAAAATGGGTGGAATACATTCTGAAGAACCTGAAGGTTTAATTATGAGAAGAATAAATTGCCTCATGCAACCTGGTTAGGCCAGTGTATAAATGGTTGTTCACTCAGGATGAGCATGTTGGTGGTAGAATGCTCTTCATCCCTGGCTTGTGGTGTGGCCTGCTGCAGAAGTGAGTGGCAGGAGGAGGGCATTTTGAGTTCACCCACACTAAAAAATCCGGAAAGCTTCTCTGTAGTARTGATGAGAAGCATTTCCTCCATTCCAGTGGGTTCTGCAGCTTCCTTCTCAATACACAGRCCCATGCACTTCTGACTTGCTAACGGCTTTTGCACCTTTGAAGACACAGAAGTCCATCATCTCTTTGCTGCAGGCATGGGGGTTATTGCTATTGTCATTCTGCTTCTGCTGAAGTGAACTTTACTGTGGTACCTTGGAAGGCAAGGCTTTGTATTGAGTGTTGAAGGAAGGAGGGAGAGGATAGGACTCAATTATCCATTAAAAGTCTCTGGCTGGGAATGTCCCCTTGCATGGTAATACCTTTGTTTGGGTAAAGAAAGAAAATGATGAGATTAATGGATGGTAGGAGAGAGTTTGGAAGGCAGATATTACAGCCTTGTGCYGGGTCTGAACAGGCTTGTCTGCCTAGATGGAAATAAAACATGACAGAAAAGCATTGAACAAAGTTCATATACTTTTAAGTAACTTCTTGCGTCTACCTCAAGTCATAATAGCCCATCCAAAAGGCTCAATGTGAAATTGTGTGTTTATGCTGCTGGTACAAGGGAAGAGCCATTTCCTTAGGCATTTAATGACTTAAGTGACATAAGGAAAACAAAATAAGAAATTGGATCAGTTGTGTTCAGTCATATATGATATTAGTTCAATTTTGTTATTCCCTCAGAATAAGAAACAAGGATGCAAAAATGAAGAAGTTCTAGCTGTACTTGGCCATGAATTGGGTCATTGGAAACTAGGTCACACTATCAAAAACATTATCATCAGCCAGGTAAGTTTATGGTAAACCAGTAGTTTTCCTAGAGCATTCTGTAATGACTGTCCTTCCTAAAGTACCTACTTCCAGGTCTGCCCGTGTATCTCGTGTTGACCGTGCCATGGGTCTTGTGCAGTTACATGCGGGAATAGAGCAAGGAGAGCAAAGATGCTGCCATTTGCCTGCTGTGCAGGCAGCACAAGGAGGAGCAGTGCCCAGTGCTGCAGCGGGACGTGCGACGCTGCGCACAGGTCTGCTCTCCGCATCTCCAGGAGGACTTGATGGAGTGGGAGAAGGCKAGAAAAGAGAAAAAGGGCAGGTGAAACTGTCAGGGGAAGGGAGGAACTTACAAAGAGGGACCAAAAAGGAAAAAAAAAAACATAACTTGCACTTCATTTTGGTGGCAGAAGACATGAGGGAATATGATGGACTCAGAAGGGCACTTTTATTTATTTTAACATTGCATTTTCATACCTTGGACACCCTTTACTGGAAAATAACCTTCTTGCATCCTTTTTGGTGCATGCCTACGATGGGGAGGAGTCTGGGAGCAGACTAACTCTGCTTTTGAAATAGAGGGGCCTAATGGTCGGTTTACTGATGCATGGACCACTGGGTATGGCCTGGTGTGCAGGAACCGCTCCTCAAAACCCTTCCACATCCTGCCCCAAAAGTTTTGGGCTCAGCAATGTGGGGCTCCTGCTACTTGCTGTTAATTTACTGTCTGCCATATGCTTTGGTGCAGATGGATCTTTTTGCAGGTAACACAGTGCGGTTTTGGTTTAGTTTGTTGGGGTTTTTTGGGGGGGGGGTTGTGTTGTTTTTCCTAAAGCTTTTCACAAGTGTTTCAGGCTGTAAGATCGTTGTCAAGCTTCAGCTTAGGCTCCTTTCTATCCTCGTCTTTTCACACGAGCTTTCTCATATCTACATAAACACTTCAGTGGGGGCCTTCCTACCTCCTGCCTTGATTGTATTCCAAGTTCTGACATCTGTGCTGATCCCTACTAGATTGAAAATAAAAAACAAAAGGTCCTTTGATATTTCACATGCTGCTGACTTGCATAACCTTTCTCTTTGGATTCATCTTGTAGTTACTGCTATCTCACTGCAATAGGTAGTTTTTTATGCCCACTTTCAAAAATATGCCCAAATCAAACTGCTYTCTGCTTTCTTCTGTTGTTTTTTTTCTGTCACAGCTCTCCCTGTCTGCCCTTTYCTGTCTGTGTGTTACTTTGCAAAGACCAAGCAGGTATCTGAGTAGGTTCAGAAGATACTTTCATACCTTCATCTTCTCCAAAACCCTTGATGTGGTCGTGCCTCTTACCTCTGAAAATCCAGCTACGCGAAGCACTCTTGCACGGTGTTGCTTGGTTTAGATAAAAGGGTGGATGGTTTCCAGAAGGAGAGGTAGAGCCCAGCAAACAGTGCTTAATGCTCCAGAGAAAGACCTCTGCCACGTTTGGCATCCTTTTGAGGCTTTGGGAACGTGTTTACTTCCAAGGAGATGGATTCTCCCCTCTTTCCTTCCTCACTTTTCATGTCTTCTTGCTATTTCATCTCCCTTCCCTACATAAACATCTTTTTCCCCTCAGTGAAAATGCAAATAGTAATTTTACTGCATGCATACACAGAAAGAAGGTTAAAGGTGGCTGCTTATTCCTCTTTGTATATTCATTTTAAAGTAATCTCTCTTTTTCAGTAGACTTTCTGTGCCGATCTGTAAGTTGAACTCTTAGACCGTAATTTAGATTTGTTTGAAAAGCCCATGTTGATCCACACTGTTGTTTCCTCTTTTTAGATGAATTCCTTCCTCTGCTTCTTCCTGTTTGCTGTGTTAATTGGACGGAAAGAGCTCTTTGCTGCATTTGGTTTTTATGAGACCCAGCCTACGCTCATAGGCTTGATGATTATTTTCCAGTTCATTTTTTCACCTTACAATGAGGTAAACTGTAACTTGTGCAACTGGTCTTTCAGCTTTAGATGCTGAAGTATCATCTTCATTATAATGATTTTGTGGCTATATTATTACTTTGCAGAAGAGTCTGAAATTTCTAGGGGCTGTATCTGGTCTATCTTAATGTAATAAGCAGGGGTAGTAGTGTTCTGTTTCAGGTAAGCCTCTTGTTTCAGGTTTGACCTGGATCAATATTACTGAAAGCATTCTGAAGCCACAGCACGGGGGAAGGAGGACATTATAATACTTATTTAGTGATGCTCTAGGCAACTTAGAGGTGGCTGAATTTTTAAGTAATTTTGAATCTGTTTCTCTCCCCAGGTTCTCTCATTTTGCTTGACTGTGCTAAGCCGGCGATTTGAGTTTCAAGCAGATGCATTTGCCAAGGAGCTCGGGAAGGCTAAAGACCTGTATTCTGCTTTGATCAAACTGAACAAAGATAATTTAGGATTCCCTGTTTCTGACTGGATCTTCTCCATGTGGCATTACTCCCATCCGCCCCTTTTAGAAAGACTTCAGGCCTTGAAAGATACAAAGCAAGAGTGACAGGAGCCATTGTGGCTCAGAGACGGTGCTTCCATCTCAGAAGCAAACTTCAGAGCTGCTTTTGAGATTGCTTTTTAAAAGGATAATTCCAACTGAGTGAAGTGTTAGCAGGACCAYCTGGTCTGAGAATCCTGAAATAAGTATTAACAGACATTATTTTCTTTTAACAAAAAAACACAAAACCATGGGACTTAATTAAGAGAAAGTACTGTATAAAGATTTGTTTTGCATTTGGCTTTTATCTTCATATTGTAGTATAGTCTTTGAGGGGGGGGGGAAAAAATAGAGACTCCCGAGCAGGTATTTTTTCAGTTTGCGTATGCCTTGAACGTTGCTTTTGATTCTCTTCCCATTCTCAATGTTCTGCAAACAAGCAGAACCTTCCTTTGCCAATCTCAAACCTCATTCATAGTGAAGAGGGTTTGGGTGACTTGGCTTCTCGTGTGATATTTGTAGTAGCCGATCACTGTGTTTAAAAAAAAGAAAGCAAGCAAGTACTCTCCTTTCTCCTGAATTCAGATTCGTGTCTGTCATAACTGAAAACTCTGCTTAATAAAACCACTTTCTCTGAAATGTGGGAATAAAGTTGAATTTCAGCTTTATGTCGTGAGGAAATGTACCATCATTTCCTAGCAAATGAGCATTATCAGCATTTTGCAGCGTTATAAGGGGATTGGGCTGCTGCTTTGTGCTCCTGGAGGAATGAAATGAGGTTACGGAGTTGGGGCCCACGTGTTAGAGAAAGTTGCTCATTCACTTTTGTCCACCAGCCGAATGGTTGGCAAGTTTTCCGCCCCTCAGTTCCTCTTTCTTTCTTCTTTTGCACAAATTCTTCATGTCGGTAGACGGAAGCAGCGGCTCCAGCTGTATCGGAGCAAAGTGTTCATGCTAGGAACGCAAGCAGGAGTGGTGGGAGCTGGGCCTGGGACTCCAGCACAAAGGAGTTGATGGGGGAGCAGTTAGAGGCTGTTCCTCACCTCTGATATAACCTCCCCTGAGACAGCGTGTTCAGATCTCAGAGGGTTAGGAAGGACAATGTGGGTAGTGGAGGAGCGGCTTGTATCGTAGAAGGTGAAATTAAATTTGCTTCTGTTCAGAGAAAGACAGAAGTTCAATATTTGTGTGTGCTGYACACACATATGCATTGGACCAGACTGAATGCAAATACTTCATATAAAAAGATTCGCTATCTGTGGTAAATTTAAAACCTTCTCATCAGCTCTATGCAAAAAGATAACAGAATCAAAGCTAATTCTGATTCTCAGAGACTTTGTTAACTAAAATTTGCTTTTCTGGCTACCTGAAATGGGGAAAAATGCCTTAACAAGTATTGGGCATGATGTGTCTTGGGCGCAACAAGATGTTGCTGGAAACCCTCTGTATGCCTTATTTTGATGGTGTTTATATGCTAACAAATGTGAAGCTAAGCTGCCGCCATGGGCTTAGGAGACAAGCTTACAGATAGGGGAAGCTTGTATTTGTTATCTTAATTAATAATTGACCCTTATAAATAAAAGGATTAACGTGGAGCTGTTAATTCCGAAGACTAAAGAAATGTGTCCAGTTGCACAGGTGTTGGTTTGAGCATATGGAAAGCATGCTGAAAGCGCTCTGAGAAAACCATTAATTAAAACTTAATTTAAAACTGAATTTGGTGGTTCCTTCTGCAGTTCGGTGAAGCGGAGAGGAAAAGGGGATAATGGCGGAAACGTTACCTAGCGCTTCACGCGGTAGCCGGGGCGGCCGGGGGCGCGCGGCTGCGCAGGCGCACACGGCGGGAAGCGCGCGGCTGCGCAGGCGCGCGCGGCCGGTCGGACATCGCGGGGCTGCGCAGGCGCGCGCGGCCGGTCGGACATCGCGGGGCTGCGCAGGCGCGCGCGGCCGGTCGGACATCGCGGGGCGGTGTCTGCCCGCGCGCGGCTCCCTTTGTGCGGGCGGTCGAGCGGGCCGGGCCGCGGCGATGCTGGCGGGTGGCAAGAAGGCCGCGGAGGCGGCGGCCGGTGGCGGCGACGGCCCTGAGGCGGCGGCGCCTCCGCCCGCCGGCCCGGGGGCCTTGGGCTCGTCCGCCGAGGGCGGCGGCAGCGCCTCGGAGCGAACGCCCCGTAAGAAGGAGCCTCCGCGGGCCTCGCCGCCTGCCGGGCTGTCCGAGCCTCTGGGCTCCGGCGCCGCCCCCGCGCCGGGCGCCGACACCACGGGCATCGCCGAGACCCCCGAGGGCCGCAGGACCAGCCGTCGCAAGCGGGCCAAGGTAGGGGCTGTGCCGTGGGCTGGGGTGCTGCGGCCCCGGGGCTGCCCCGCGCCGCCCGAGCGGCCCTCCCGGCTTGCGGGAGCGCGTGGGCCGGACCTGCCGCCGCAGCGCGAACACCGCATTCACTTGTGCTTGAAGCGTTGGCTAAATYCCAACGCGTTTGCACGAGGAGCATCCGTCGTGTTGTTAGGAGTGTAGGGGAGCAGCGTCCCCCGAGGGTTGCGGTGTGCGTGGAGCAGAGCTGGTGCGGCAGGTTGTGCGGGTAGCGAGCGTCGCGTCACGCTGGGCACCCCGCTCCCGGACACCCCCCTCCTCAGTGTCCTTCCTTTGGCTCCGGGAAGCTCCCGCCCTCCTGCTGAGGGAGCCTGAGGAGGACAAACGCTGAAGGTCCCTGAGCAGCTTCCAGGGGCTTGGACCTGCAGAGTCCTCAATCCCTAAGTTATTATGAACATAGAAGAGTTCTTTTTTTGTACCGGGTGTATCTTTGCACCGTGTTGCAGAGGCCTTGGGAGGCTTTGGGTGCACCCAGGCCTGGGTGTGTTTGATAGGGAAGCTGCAAGTGCTGTTCAGGGCCTTGTGTGGTGGCCTGGGGTGTTCTACTGCTGAGGGCACCATGCGCCCAACTCTGACACCCCTGCAGCGCCCGGGAGCCGCCATTGTCTTCAGGGGCCGCATCCGTGGGTTTCGTTTGCCTGATGGTCTGACACAAACAGGTTATGTTCCGGGGATGCTTGCCCTCGCTGTGGACGGGAGCTCAGGGCAAGTGTCGGTGCTGGGAACTGCCTGACCTGCGTTGAAGATAAACCTTGGAAAGGGGTTCTTCTCTTTGGACTCGATTACTCTTTGCAGTTGTGCAAGCTCAAGGATCCAAGGCCACTTTGGAGCGGGGTGAGATGGCTCCGTTTGCAGGTAGCACTAGTGTGTGTTGGTGTTGAGTGAGTGTGGTACACTAAGATCCCTGTAACTTGCTTCAGAGTGGGARTTTGCAAGAGACTCACAGAAGCACAGAATCATAGAATATTCAAGGTTGGAAGGGACCTCTCGAGATCAYCTAGTCCAACCTTCCTGCTCRAGCAGGCACACCTASAGCATGTGGCACAGGGTGGCATCCACGCGGGTTTTGAAGACCTCCAGAGAAGGAGACTCCACAACCTCCCTGGGCAGCCTGTTCCAGGGCTCTGWCACTCTCACAGTGAAGAAGCTCCTCCTCACCTGGAGATGGAAATTCCTGTGTTTCAGCTTATGCCCATTTCCCCTCGTCCTATCGCTGGCCACCAATGAGAACAGCTTGTCCCCTTCTTCCCTGCATTCTCCCTTCATGAACTTATACACATTAATCATATCCCCTCTSAGCCTTCTCTTCTCCAGAGAAAACAGGCCCAGCTCRCTCAGTCTCTCCTCATATGAGAGATGTTCCATTCCCTTAATCATCCTAGGTGCTCTCCGCTGAACCCTCTCTAGAAGCTTCACATCCCTTTTACACTGGGGAGCCCAGAACTGCACACAGTACTGCAGGTGCGGCCTCACCAGAGCTGAGTAGAGGGGCAGAATCACCTCCCTTGACCTGCTGGCAACACTCCTCCTGATGCYGGTCAGGATCCCATTGGCCTTCTTGGCCACGAGGGCACACTGCTGAGCTGGGAGTCTGTACTGGTGCCTGGGGTTATTCCTGCCCAGGTGCAGGACCCTGCACTTGTCCTTGTTGAACCTCATGAGGTTCCTCTCTGCCCAACTCACCAGCCTGTAGTACCAGACTCTGGTAGTGCTGTAGTGTCTAACACATGTGCTCGGTGCCGGAGAGACTGGAATATGAATTCTTTTCCAGGAGCTAGGGAAATTCAGTATCAATAGATAAATTCTCCTTAGTTTGGAGAAACAAACAGATGTGTTTAAATTGTGTATTTAAAATAGTTTAAACAGTAGCTTTTTAGGGTACCTCTTGGGCTGCCATGTTCCTTTAAGTTACCATAAATTTATTATTATTGTTGTTGTTGTTATTATTATTCATCTGGAGAACAAAATACATATGACARTAAAGATTGTGATTTTTGTTACTTTGCTTAACTGATACAAAAAGTCGTGTGGAGAAAGAAAGAGGAACATCTCATCTTATGATCAATGGATTTTTTATGGGATTTTTATGGGATTTCATAGAGATTCAGAGTTCAGTTCAAAATTTGAGGAACTGTGATCAAAATTCCAGCTTGCAAATGTTTCTTCTGAAATACTTTGGCACGTGGCACATATGTTGTTTAACGTAGCTCTTGAACATGAGTTAGTAACATTTAAGTAGTCAGGATGAAAGCAACACCATAACTTTGTTTGGAGTCAGTTGAGATAAATGAAAATCTTAACAGGAATTGTACAATTCAAAGTTCCTGTTCTGAGTCTAGCGTGTTAGGTTGCCTGAGAGCATTKAAAAGAGTTAGGAGTGGACGGTTTAAATATTTAAGAGGAAAATCTCCCTTTAAGACCTGGATAGATTGCCACTTTTGAATATATGTTGAACATATCTATTTCCTGCTAGGACTGACGCTTTCATTTCATTATCAGTGCTGAGAGCTGCAGGGCACCCTCATCAGTTTGTGTTAGAAACAGGCTGATGTTTGGCAGAAAAAAACATATTTTGGTCTTTCCCAGACTCAGTTTTATGAGAAATGCTAGACCTGCAGAAACTGGATTTCTCTGAACTTCTGTCAAGCTTACAAGGAGGGAAGTCTCTACTTCTGTTCTCACCTGTGTGGTTCTCACTCCTCTGCCTGAAGCTGCTCAGGCTTTTGTGTGACAAACCACTTKGCGGGCTGACTTGATTTATCCCCCAGCAAAAGCCTCTCTGCTTTGCCAGGGTGAGTGAGAGGAGATTTCCCTTAGGATTAGYGATAGGAATTGCCTGGTAAAGGGCTACTGCAGTTGTAGGTGCTCCATCCCACCTACCTTCATTTGCAGAGRTCTGCCAGGAGAAGAATCTGATCTGTGTATTTCATCTGTCAACAGAAGAATCTTGCTGAACTAAGCATTGTCTGTGAGTTACTGTCTGTAACTCCTGAGTCTTCCCTGGCTGATTTTGGTTAACAGCATCTTCTCATAGTGCATTTTGATTCATCTTCTATTTGAACGTCGAGTGTCAAACAGCTCATGTGTGGTTACATGCTTAGTAAGCTCTAATTTTCTTGTAAATCATTATCTGTGCTCTTATTTTGTGTTAGATTTTTATCCTTGTTACTAATTTTAGCTCTGTAAGCCAGCTATGGTGGTCAAAGTCATATGTACCAAATGTGCAGGTGTGCTCGGTGCTGTGGTCACTTCTAACAATTCTTCTAAAGTTGCTAAGTCTGCACTGAGTGTGGGAAAGATGCTGAAGCTCTGGGGAGAGACGGAGAGCACTAATGGCATTTTTCAGAACTGGGTCTTATTTGGCATGGGTCTAGGAGATGAGGTTAGAAAGGCAGGAGTAAAGGATTACATTATCATAAGAAAAGAAATAAAAGAGCCAGAGTTATAGAAATGCAACTATGGAACGACTTTGTGTTTTTCATACTGGGATTTAATCAACTTCTGCTAGCAAATAAAACTCACAGACTGAAAACAGGAGAGAGATCTTTCCTCTTTATGAGCAGTCCAAAGAGGAGGCAAATGGGACCGCTGCACCAGGGTTCCCCTGATAGCTTTCTGCAGCTACCGAAAAAAGGGAGAGAATATCTGTGCAAGGCACCTCACTGTGCAGGATACTGGTGAGATTTTCTTAGGAAGCCTGGTTAACAGGTCTGTTCAGTCACCTTGAGCAGATAAGTGCAAGTTGGAACATGCAAGCTAAAGGTTGGTAGATAATGAGAGCGAAGAACCTATTGTGTGAAAGAAGCCTGCGAGTTTAGTTCCACTGTAGTGGTTTAGGCTGGGAGGAGATTTGTCACCCATAAATATGCTGGGGAGGTAAAGATTCACAAGAAAACAAGAGAGGCTGAAGACAATACAGACTCAAATACATATAAAATGGGCTAATTACTAGCCCATAAACTTCTTAGTCCTAGGGATAATTAGGTGCTGAAGCCAGTAGTGGAGGTGAAAACGCGTGAAACGTGTTATGCTGCTGGAGCTGTGTGTAACACAGTGCCTTTAGTAGGATTTCGGGTAGCCCAGGCCTGTTCTTTGTGCTTGTAAGCCATTAT